ACGAGTCGCGCCGGCGCCGTCTGGGAATGGCGAGGGGTGGCCAGAATCTGATTCTCAGACGGCGCCGGGGCGCCAAACATGACGCTCATGGCCCTCCATCCCCCTCCCCCTCCACCCCGAGTGGCGGCCGTGATCGCGCGTTCCTCCTCCTCCTCCTCCTCCTCCTCCTCCTCTCCTCCTCCTCCTCCTCCTCCTCTCCCGCCCCTCCTCTCATCCTCCTCCTCCTCCTCCTCCTCCTCCTCCTCCTCCTCCTCCTCCTAATCCTCCTCCTCCCCTCCTCCTCCTCATCCTCCTCCTCCTCCTCCTCCTCCTCCTCCTCCTCCTCCTCCTCCTCCTCCTCCTCCTCCTCCTCATCGTCCTCATCCTATTCCTCCTCTTTCTTCTCTCTTCTCTCCTCTCTCCTTCCCTTCCCCCTCCACCCACTCGGGCGTTGCCCCATGGTGGGGCCGTGAGCGGGGGCGACGAAAGGTGCATCCGTCGTGCACCGTCGGGGCACCAAGGAGGCCCCTTTCAGACCATCCTGCCTGCAACCCTCGACCCCTTACTTCTGCAGCAACCCGTGGGAGCCCTCTTACTTCCGTCTCTAGCGTCGACTCGCGTCGATTCGCGTCTCAGAGTCGATGAGACAGCGCCGATGAAGCGTCGGCTTGCGCCGACTGGCGCCGACTGGGCGTCGACTATCGAGCCAGCGTCGACCAGCGTCGATCCGCAAGAGCGGACAGGATGGTATGGGAGGCTCCCACGAGCTGCCACCGAAGATCGGGTCGGGCGAAAGGGGGGGATAGCAAAAGGGGGGGTTTGAGAATCAGCTCACGTAGCTGACTTTCCCGGCGCCTCCCGGCGCCGGGAGGCGCCCGTGTATCGAGGAGTGGGCCACTCGGCGGGGCCGAAACCAGCTCCTTGCAGCAGATTTCGTACCCCCTCCTCCTCCTCCTCCTCCTCCTCCTCCTCCTCCTCCTCCTCCTCCTCCTCCTCCTCCTCCTTTCCCGATCCCCCCCTTTCGTCCGGCCCGAGAAGTCCCCCCTCCTCGCCTCCCCGCGACAGCACGCCCGAGCCGCCCAGCTTCCGCGCGCCGCCGGGCAGGGGGGGGCGGGGCGCAAGGGGAGGGCGCCCGCGCCGCCCCTGGAGCGGCGCGGAGAGGGGAGGCCCCGCCCGTGCGCGAGCGCGGCGACCCCGCGCGATGGCCTGGCGCAGAACGCTGACGGAGGAGGAGGAGGAGGAGGAGGAGGAGGAGGAGGAGGAGGAGGAGGCGGAAGAGGAGGAGGAGGAGGAGGAGGCGGAGGAGGCGGAGGAGGAGGAGGAGGCGGAGGAGGGGGGCTCGGATGTCCCCCGGCCTCCTGAGAGGTCCATTTGAGCCTTCCCCAAGGGGCACAGCGGAAACTGCTCAGAAGGCGCGAGGGCCTCTGAGAAGTCCCGCCGCCTCATGAGAAGGCCTTCTCCTTCTCACTTCCCCCCCCCTCGCTCGCCGCCGAACACCAGGCGGAGGCGGGCGCTTCTGCGCGACCTTGTTGTGCGGGCAGCTTGCGAACGAACGCCCGCGCAGTGAACCCGGACTTGCTTACAGTGGAGGCCGGTCCACAGGAAACATGACCCAAGAAACCCGACACTGAGACCCCAGGACGTCCACTGAGCTCTGGCGCGGGAACGCCACGCCTGGCACAGCAGAACCATCGAAGCCCAAGAAGCTCTTGGGCACCCTGGAGGAGGAGGAGGAGGAGGAGGAGGAGGAGGAGGAGGAGGAGGAGGAGGAGGAGGAGGGAGGAGGAGGAGGAGGGGGAGGAGGAGGAGGGGAGGAGGAGGAGGAGGTAGGAGGAGGTGGAGAGGAGGAGGAGGAGAGGAGGAGGAGAGGAGGAGGAGGAGGAGGCCCCACTGCGCGTCGCTCCCCTGACGTTCTGCAGCCGTCGTGCTGCCCGCAGGGGAGCGCCGCGGATGGCTTCTTGTGCTCCGCTCGGGCCGCGGCGGGGGCCTCGGCCACGCACGCGCCGCCGCGGCACGCCCCGCGGCCCTGCCCGGGCAGCGCCGGGAGCGGCGGCGCCACGGGTGGGCAGGAGCCGGCACACCGAGGGAGCGGCGGAGCCCGCGAGCAGCAGGGCGGCCCCGCGTCGGCGCCGAGGCCGAAGGGGCTCGCACCGGGGCCCGGGGGAGCCCCTGGGCAGGATCGGCACCTCGGCCTCTCAGGCCTGACGAGACCGCCCTCGGCAGAAGTGACTCTCTTTTTTTCCGGTGAGGTCTCACGCGGGATCGCCGCGTCGACTCGGGCAACCCGATTGGGCTGTGAAGATATCGGCTCTGTGACCCCAAAATCGAAAATGCGGTTTTCGGGGACTTCCCGACAAAAACGATTTCGACCTGATGTCGAAACCCGTCGGCCCGAAGTCGCAATTGCGACTATGCGCAATATTTCTTCGAATAAACGTGTTCGACCGAAGTCGAAACCCTCCGGTCCGAACTCTAAACTGCGTGGGAATGACTTCGCTACACGAAGCAACGAGACGCACACTGCCAACATTGTACCGGGGACCACCGCCGAGCGGGCTGAGTTGAAGTTTGGCCGAACTTTCGCAGCGGCGAGAAAGGTCCCCCCTACTCGAATCTAAAGAACGGAACAAAAACTAGAGCCCCTCCTGAGCCCAAACAGGACCGTTCTTCAGCGTCTGCACTGCACCCCGCCCGCCCATCCCCATTCCTCCCACCCCGTCTCGATCTCCTCGATGGGTCAAACTGCAAGCAAAGCCTGCAAGCTCAACCAGTAAAACTAATCCTCCTCCAACCTCCTCCTCCTCCTCCTCCTCCTCCTCCTCCTCCTCCTCCTCCTCCTCCTCCTCATGCTCGTCTGCTCCGCCTCCTCCTCCTCCTCCTCCTCCTCCTCCTCCTCCTCCTCCTCCTCATGCTCGCCTGCTCCGCCTCCTCCTCATTCTCATCCTCATCATCCCTCGCCCTGGTTGGTCTCGACAAAACCCCATCAAGGCTAGTCCCTAAACCCCTTTGGGGTCCATCCGTATATTTGTTCGATCTTCATCCAACCAGAGCACGAGGTCACCCCAGGGGACCCTAATCGAACGGGGGCGACCATAGGGGGCGAATAGCGAATAGCCCAGGGTAAAGCAATACATGTATCCAAGGTCGCCGATGGCCCATGCCTTCGACGAGGCTCCCAGGCGCATATGTGTAATGCCCGCCCCTGGGCTGTTCGCCCCCATCGTCGCCTCCGAGGCGATACAAAACCTGAAGCCCTCCCTCCTCCTTCTATGTAATTAGGCCTCTGGAGGTCTCGAGAGGTCCCCTGGCCCCGCGAACAACCCCGACGCCTGCGGAGACCCCCAGAAGGCCCGAAGCATCCAAGCACATCCGAAAACCTCATCTGCCGTCTCCCCCTCCCTACTCCTCCTTATCCTCCCTCCCTCTCCCTCCTCCTCATCTTCCAACGCCTCCTCCTCCTCCTGTTCCTCCTCCTCCTCTTTCTTTCTTTGCGCAGCCACTGCGCACACGTGTGATAGGCGGACAGGCTCGGCGAGAGTGTCAGGAAGCCGAAAGCGCTTCCACTGACCAGAACAGCAGAGCAAATGAAAATCTTCTGCGACCTCCCTCCGCAAGCCAGCGACCTCCTCCTCCTCCTCCTCCTCCTCCTCCCTCTCCTCCTCCTCCTCTCCTCCTCCTCCTCCTCCTCTCCTCTCTCCTCCCTCCCTCCCTCCCTCCCTCCCTCCCTCCTCCTCCTCGTTCTCCTCCTCCTCCTCCTCATCCTCCTCCCCCTCCTCCTCCTCCTCCTCCTCCTCCTCCTCCTCCTCCTCCTCCTCCTCCTCCTCCCCTGGTTCATCCTCCATCCTCCCCGTCTTGGGGTATAACGGATTCCCAAGACCTTAATTCCACCGCATGCTCCTCCACGTCCCTGATCGGGGCAACCCGCCGGGGCTCCGCTTCTGGATGGGCCGGTGGGGTTACTTTTTCGATCTGCGGCCCAAAGGAAGAGTCCAGAGGGCGGGTCAAGTGGTGGGGTTACGCGAAGCGCCTAGACTCTCGTTGCTTCTGCTGCGAAGCTCGGCGATCCGGGGTTGAGCAGGCCGGCATCGCACCTGGGGCTCACCAGCCGAGCGGGTGCTCCACCGCCCCCCCCCCCGTGGTGGGTCCGGCGGCGCCGAGGAAGAGCCGCCGTGCGATCCACGGCCCCACGTGGGCCCCCGCCCGAGGTGCTCGAAGATGGCGCGGGAAGCCACGGGGCACCCGAAGGAGGAGGAGGAGGAGGAGGAGGCGGAGGCGGAGGAGGAGGAGGCGGAGGAGGAGGAGGAGAGAAGGAGGAGGAGGAGGAGGAGAGGAGGAGGAGGAGAGGAGGAGGAGGAGGAGGAGGAGGGGGAGGAGGGGGAGGGGGAGAGGCGGAGAAGGAGGAGGAGGAGAAGGAGGAGAAGGAGGAGGGGGAAGAGGAGGGGGAGGAGGAGGAGGAGGAGGAGGAGGAGGAGGAGGAGGAGGAGGAGGAGGAGGCCACTACTGGGAGAACTTCGTCGGAAGCACTAAGGAGAAATGAACCCCATTGTGGGGGGCTGCTGCGCCGGATGGGGCCGCGGATGAAGCGGGCTGGGGCTGGATCGAGCTGGATTGAAAGCCAGATGATCAGGCCGCCGATTTCGGACCAGGGCAGAGACAGAATTTGACCCCCCCAGGAGTTGCATCCGAAGGCAACGATAGGGGAACGAGGGGGAACGTCCCTGCCCCTGCCAATGAGGGGCAACGTTCGGGGGAGCGGGCATCGAGAGCTCGAGGAGAGCTCCAACACGGCGGCACCGATGCAGCCGCGAGGCCTCAAAACTCGAGCGCTTGCGGGCGAGCGCCCCTGACCCGAGCAGAGGAGCCACTCGCAGTGCCACTGAAAAACGCGAGACGAGGCCGGCACGAGGGGGAGGGAGGAGGACGACGAGCACGAGGGGAGGGAGGAGGACGACGAGGACGAGACGAGGAGGACGACGACGAGGGGGGGGGGGGAACGTTCGAGGTCTGACCCGCCGCCGCTCCTCGTACTTGCGGGCCAGCCCCTTCAGGATCTGCTGCGTCTCCTGGCACGGGCGGAGCCAGGCCGAGCGCTGCCGGGTCGGGAGCGGGGGCGGAGGTGGGGGCCGACGACAACACCAACGCCAACAGAAACAACAACCACTACAACAACAACAACAACAACAACAACAACAACAACAACAACAACAACGACAACAACAACAACAACAGCAACAGCAACAGCAACAGCAACAACAACTACTACTACTACAACTACATCAACAACAACAACAACAACAACAACAACAACAACAACAACAACAACAACTACAACTACAACTACAACTACAACTACAACAACAATAATAATAATAATGATAATAATAATAATAACAATAATAAGTTTGACACCGTTCGCCCTTATATGCTCCAGTGTCCAATAACGCGTATTTCCCAAACCCTCGATACCCGCCCTCTTCGTCTTCGATCGAGCCCCTTTTGGGGGGTATACCTTTCTTGCCTGCAGGCCGGGCCCCGGCAAGCGGCGGGGCGGCCGCGGACCGTCGGCCTGGCCAGCGGCAGCGCTGATCGGCGGGGCGGCCGCGGACCGTCGACCTGACCCCAACAAGGACGGACAGGGGACCGACCACGACGACGACGACGACGACGACGACGACGACGACGACGACGACGAGGACGACGTCGAAGACGACGGCGACGACGACGACGGCGACGACGAGCGAAAGCGAGAGCGAGAGAGAACGACAGCAGGGCCACGAAGGGCACGAAATAGGCCACGAAAGGCGACAGCCGGGACACGAAGGGAATGCGTATGGGGCCACAAAGAGCGCGAACGAGCGGGGGCCACGAAGTGAAGATAATGCGGGGCCACAGAAGGCAACTATGGGGCCACTGAGGGTAGCAACTGGGCCACGTAGGACAGTGAGGGGGACACACATGGCGACAGCGGGGCCACGAAGGGCATGCAAATGGGGCCACAACGGGCGCGACTCCTGGGTGCCTGGGTGTCGGGAGCGCGGCGCTTGGGCAAATTGCAAGAAATTCCTACGCAAGGCCATTCTTCAGTAAGTTGCAAGCAAGTCTCCAGCGAAAGCGCGACTCCAGAGCGCGGGGAGAGCGATTCCTAAATAAATTGTAAGGGTAAGGAAGTCCCAAGCGAGAGCGCGATTCCGAAATAAAATGCGAGGAAGTCTCGGGCGGGAGCGGGGGTCCTGGCTAAATTGTAAGGAAGTCTCAAGCGGGAGCCGTTGTTGTTCTAACCCGGGGGCCAGGGGCCCAGTTTGAGCAGGAAGACTTCCCCTGTCAAAAACCAGGGTGCGAGCGTCGAGGGGCACACTTTGATTGAGAAAAAACAGTATGCACCAGTGGGGGGGGATCAACAATAATTTTTCTTCAGAAGTGAGAACTCAACAACGACAACAACAACAACAACAACAACAACAATAACAACAACAACAACAACAACAACAACAACAACAACAACAACAACAACAACAACAACAACAACAACAACAACAACAACAACACCAACAACAACAACAACAACAACAACAACAACAACAACAACAACAAACAACAACCACAACAACAAGGCAAAACAACCGGCTGGTGGACCCGGTGAGGGTCCACCAGCTCGCTGTTTCGCTCCTTGTGGCGAAACATATCATTGGTGGACCCGGCCCCCCCCGGCAACGCAACGCAACGCAACGCAACGCAACATATGGTTGCCAACAGTAGCCACAGGAAGCCGTTGGATAATCCTCTGGGATCCTTCGGGGTCCTTAAGAAAGCCGACGCATTCCCACGAGCTGAAACTATCTGCGCTCCCCCGAGTCGACACCTTCGGGCAAGCTATATGATCCCTGAGGGATGCTCTAGAATCCCTAAGAGAAGGCTGCAGAACCCCTAAGGGATGCTACAGAATCCGCAAGGGATGCTATAGAATCCCTACAGGGATGCTACAGACTCCCTAAGGGTTCCTACAGAATCCCTAAGGGATGCGATGGAAACCCTTAGGGCTGCCATAGAATCCCTTAGGGCTGCCATAGAATCCCTTAGGGATGCCCGAGAATCCTAAAGGGATGCTATAGAATCCTTAGGGGATGCTATAGAATCCCTAAGGGATGCCAGAGAATCCCTGCGGGATGCTATAGAATCCCTAAAGGGATGCAATATAATCTCTAAGGGATGCCAGAGAATCCCTAAGGGATGACAAAGAATCCCTGATGGATGCTATAGAATCCTTAAAGGGATGCCATAGAATCCCTGAGGGATGCCATAGAATCCCTGAGGGATGCTGTAGAATCCTTAAAGGGATGCTATGAAGAATCCCTGAGGGATGCTCTAGAATCAATAAGGGCTGCTACTGAATCCCGCAGGGATGCTATAGAATCCCTCAGGGATGCTGCAGAATCCCTAAGGGATGCTATAGAATCCCCATGGGTCCCGGCGTGTTGCCCGGCGTCCCTCAGTGGCCTGCCCCAGAAGGGGGAGGCGCATGCCCAAATGGCTTGAACCACAAATGAAGAGAGGGAGAGGAGCGCGCCCACGTCAGCCGCAAGGCCACCAGAGCCACGGGAGTCAAATCCGCCGCCGTGCCTTCTGCACGGCAGAAGCGAGTTCGAAGCTGGGCCGGCACGGGAACGGAAAGATTGCTAAATATGACTCCCATCGGATTCGTAAAAGCTTCCCGCAGGATTCCTGCAGGATTCGTAAAGGCCCTTCCTATAAGATTCGCAGAGGCCCTATAGGATTCCCATAGGATTCCTACAGGATTCCTAAAGGATGCGCAAAGGCCCTCTAGGATTCCTATAAGATTCCTATCGGATTCCTAAGAGGATTCGTGGAGGCCCTATAGGATACGTATGAAAATCATACAGGATTCCCAGAGGATTCGTAGAGGCCTTATAGGATTCCGATGGGAGTCCTATAGGATATGTAAAGGCCCTCTGGGATTCCTATCAGATTCCTGTAAGAGTCCGATAGGGTTCGTAAGAGCCCTATAGGAATCCTATGAGACTCCTATCGGAATCCTATGAGATTCGCCTCCCCTCTAAGATTCCTACGAGTTTGCTATAGGATTCCTAAGGATTCGTAAAGGCCCTAATATGATTAGTATCGGATTCCCATCGGATTCCTATAGGGTTCGTAGAGGCCCTACAGGATTCCCATGGGATTCCTGTAGGAATCGGAGAAGCCCTTTTCAGATTCCCGTAGGATTCCTCTAAGATTCCCATAGGATTCGTATAGAGGCCCTATAGGATTCCCCTCGGAGTCCTATAGGGTTCCCATGGGAATCAGGCCCTATAGGATTCCTATGGGATTCCAATTGGATTCCTATCGGATCCGTAGAGGCCCTCTGGGACTCTCATAGGAATCCGATCGAATCCTTGTATGATGCGTTGAGGCCCTAAAGGATTCCTATAAGATCCGTATCTGATTCGTAGAGGCCCTATGGGATTCCCAAAAGGGTTCCTGTGGGATTCCCACAGGAATCCTAAAGCCCTACAGGATTCCCATGGGATTTCTATGGGATTCCCATAGGAGTCCTAAAAGGCCACATAGGTTCCCTACTGGTTTCCTATAGGATTCCTATCGGATTCGTGAAAGGCCCCATCGGATTCCGATATCGTTCCTATTGGATCCCCATGGGATTCGTAAAGGCCCTATAAGATTCCTATAGGATTCCCATGGGATTCTCATAGGATTCGTAGAGGCCCTATGGGATTCCTGTGGGATTCCGATGGGATTCCTATAAGGTTCGCGGAGACAGTATAGGATTCCCAATGGAATCCTACAGGATTCGGGGTAACGTGCGTTGCGTTGCGTTGCGTTGCGTTGCGTTGCGTTGCGCCAGGGGGGGGGTTGGGGCCGGCGCCAGTGCGTGGTTTCGTCAACAACAACAGCAGCAACAACAACAACAACAGCAACAACAACAACAACAACAACAACAACAACAGCAACAACAACAACAACAACAACAACAACAACAACAACAACAACACCAACACCAACACCAACAACAACAACACCAACACCAACACCACCAACAACAACAACAATCATGTTAAGACTGTTCGCCCTTATCTGCGCGAATGTCCACTGACGTGTATTTCCCAAATCCCCGATACCCGCCCTTTTCGTTTTCGATCGAACCCCTTTTGGGGGGTATACCTTTCATCCCTGCAGGCCGGGCCCCCGCAAGCGGCGGGGCGGCCGCGGACCGTCGGCCTGGCCAGCGACAGCGCTGATCGGCGGGGCGGTCGCGGACCGTCGACCCGACCCCAAGAGGGACGGACAGGGGACCGACCACGACGACGACGACGTCGACGACGACGGCGACGACGGCGACGACGACGAGCGAAAGCGAGAGCGAGAGAGAACGACAGCAGGGCCACAAGGACACGAAGTAGGCCACGAAGGGCGACAGCGGGGACACGAAGGGAATGCGTATGGGGCCACGAAGAGCGCGAGCGCGCGGGGGCCACGAAGGGCAGATAATGCGGGGCCACAGAAGGCAACGATGGGGCCACTGAGGGTAGCAACTGGGCCCCGTAGGACAGTGAGGGGGCCACAAACGGCGACAGCGGGGCCACGAAGGGCATGCACATGGGGCCACAACGGGCGCGAACGAGCGGGGGCCACGAAGGGCAGACGTATACTGGGCCGCGGAGGGCAAGGACGGGGTCACTGAGGGCAGCCACGGGGCCACGAAGGGCACCGAGGGGGCCACGAAGGGCAACAGCGGGGCCACGAAGGCATGCCTATGGGGCCACCACGGGCGCGAACGAGGGGGGGCCACGAAGGGCACACATATATGGGGCCACGAAGGGCAGAGAGGGGCCACGAAGGGACGCAACGGGGCCACGAAGGGCAGCGAGGGGGCCACGAAGGGCTGCAACGGGGCCACGAAGGGCTAAGACGGGGCCACGAAGGGCAGCGAGGGGGCCACGAAGGGCTGCAACGGGGCCACGAAACAAAGGGATGGGGCCACGAAGGGCTGCAACGGGGCCACAAAGGGCAGCGAGGAGGCCACGAGGGGCTGCAACGGGGCCACGAAGGGCAGCGAGGGGGCCACGAAGGGCTGCAACGGGGCCACGAAACAAAGCGAGGGGGCCACGAAGGGCTGCAACGAGGCCACGAAGGGCAGCGAGTTCCCGATACCAAGGTAATATGTGAGGGAATCCTAAGCGTGAGCGCGACTCCTGGGTGCCTGGGTGTCGGGAGCGCGGCGCTTGGGCAAATTGCAAGAAATTCCAACGCAAGGGTGCTATTCTTCAGTAAATTGTAAGCAAGTCTCCAGCGAGAGCGCGACTCCAGAGCGCCGGGAGAGCGATTCCTGAATAAATTGTAAGGAAGTCCCAAGCGAGAGCGCGATTCCTGAGTGAAATGCGAGGAAGTCTCGGGCGGGAGCGGAGGCCCTGGCTGAATTGTCAGGAAGTCTCAGGCGGGAGCCGTTGTTGTTGTACATCGGGGGCCAACGACACAGATTGACGCTCAAGACTTTCCCTGATCAAAAACAGGGTGCGAGCTCCGGGAAGGGCACTTCAATCGAAAAAAACAATGTGCACCGGACGGGGGGGATCAACAATAATTATTCTTCAGAAATGCGAGTTCTACAACAACAACAACAACAAACAAACAAACAAACAAACAAACAAACAAACAAACAAACAAACAAACAAACAAACAAACAAACAAACAAACAAACAAACGACGACGACGACAACGACGACAACAACAACAACGACAACAACGACGACGACGAAGACGACGAAGACGACGACAACAACAACAACAACCACAACAACAACAGCAACAACAGCAACAGCAACAGCAACAGCAACAGCAACTCTAACAACAGTAATAACTGACGCAATAACAGCAAGAACAGCAACAGTGATATCAACAAGACCACCACCACCAAGACCAACAGCAACAGCAACAACAAACTCAGCATGACCAACACCGACAGCAACAACAATAACAACCACAGCAACAACAACAACGGCAACAACGATAACAACAAGCAGTTTAAGACTGTTCGCTCTTATCTGCTCGAGTGTCATTCAACGTGTATTTCCCAAAACCTCGACAACCAAGCACAACAGCAACAACCACAATAACAACAGCAACAACAACATTCATTTTAAGATTGTTCGCTCCGATTTGGTCACGTGCCAATCAATATGTATATCCTCAACCCTCGGTACCCGCCTTCGTCGTCTTCGATCGTAAACCCCCTTGGGGGCATATCTTCCTTACCTGCCACGTGCATTTAGTGCAGTCCCTAAGACAAGGGAAGAAAGGACGGGTGGAAGGGGGAGGGAGAAGCATGGAGCACGAGAGAAATTGGCAGGCGGGGGGGCAAGGAGCAGAAAACAAGTTGTATAAACAGACGGGCAGATCGGGTGGGCAGACCCATAGCGGGCAGGTCGGGAAGGCGGGCCCAGGCGACGAGGTCGAGCAGGCGGGTTGCTGAAGCGTGGGTCCTGCATGAATCGAGAGGAAGTCTCGAGCGATAGCACGATTCCCAAGTAAAACGTGAGACACGCCAAAGCGAGAGCATGATTCCTGTGCGCCGAAGGCGCATCGTCTGAATAAATTGCAGGGAATCCCCACGCGAGAGCGCGATGCGCACATGAATTGTGAGGAAGTCCCGCGCGAGAGCGCGAGTTGGGAATAGATAGTGAGGAAGTACCAGGCGGGAGCCGCTGATGTTGTAAACCAGTGCCCAAGGGCCCAGTTTGAGTCCCGTGATTTTCACTATTGATACAGGGTGCGAGCCCCGGGGGAAACACTTGAATTGAATTATCCTGGCGAAGGACCCAACCATAAGCAATTGTCAACACTGCAATTGTGAATATCTGGCGCTACCTACGGGGCCACGAACCGTGTGAGCGGTGTGCCGACATGGGTGTGGCTGGCGCACGCGAGCGGTGGCACTGGGGCCTTCGGTGGAGCTCCCTATGGGGCCACTAACCGTGTGAGGAGTGCGCCGAGTTGGGTGTGGCTGACGCACGCGGGCGGTGGCACTGGGGCCTTCGGTGGAGCTCCCTATGGGGCCACGAACCGTGTGAGGGGTGTGCCGAATTGGGTGTGGCTGACGCATGCGGGCGGTGGTACTGGGGCCTTCGATGGAGCTCCCTATGGGGCCACGAGACGTGCGAGGGGTGCGAGGGGTGTGCCAGAATGGATGTGGCTGACGCATGCGGGTGGTGGCACTGGGGCCTTCGGTGGAGCTCCCGGGGCCACGAACCGTGTGAGGGGTGTGCCGAATTGGGTGTGGCTGACGCATGCGGGCGGTGGCACTGGGGCCTTCGATGGAGCTCCCTATGGGCCCACGAGACGTGCGAGGGGTGCGAGGGTCGTGCCGGAATGGATGTGGCTGACGCATGCGGGTGGTGGCACTGGGGCGTTCGGTGGAGCTCCTTATGGGGCCACGAAACGTGTGAGGGGTGTGCCGAATTGGGTGTGGCTGACGCATGCGGGTGGTGGCACTGGGGCCTTCGGTGGAGCTCCCTATGGGGCCACAAAACGTGTGAGGGGTGTGCCGAATTGGGTGTGGCTTACGCATGCGGGCTGTGGCACTGGGGCTTTCGGTGGAGCTCCCTATGGGGACCACGAAGCGTGTGAGGGGTGTGCCGAATTGGGTGTGGCTGACGCATTGGGGCGGTGGCACTGGGGCCTTCGGTGGAGCTCCCTATGGGGCCACAATACGGGTGAGGGGTTTGCCTCCTCCTCCTCCTCCCTTCTCCCTCCTCCCTCCTCCCTCCTCCCTCCTCCCTCCTCCTCCCTCCTCCTCCTCCTCCTCCTCCTCCTCCTCCTCCTCCTCATCATCATCATCATCACCAGCTCCTCCTCTCCTCCTCCTCCTCCTCCTCCTCCTCCTCCTCTCTCCTCCTCCTCCTCCTCCTCCTCCTCCTCCTCCTCCTCCTCCTCCTCCTCCTCCTCCTCCTCCTCCTCCTCCCTGAGGAGGGGGCGTCCTCCACGGTCGGCTCGGGGACCGTCACGGGCTGGAAGCGGCGCTCCAGGGCCTTGTCCTTCTCGATGTACTTGCGGTACTCCTGCGCCCGCTGCGGCGGGGGGCCGCGCAGCAAGCCTTGTCCCACCAAGCCCGAGCTCCAGAGGGCGGGGGCAGCGGCCAGACCGAGGACGGAGGAGGAGGAGGAGGAGGAGGAGGAGGACCAGAGTAGACCCAAGACGCATCAACGATGTTGCAATAAATCCTCCCTCCAAGCTCCATCTTCATGGTCAGGTCGGGCATGTCCTCCTGCAGGCGGACGTTGGGCGAAAAATGGAACACAGACCACAAAGACCTCAAAAGTTGTCACAGGTAGCAGAAGCATCGTCCCCATGCTACGTGTTGGCGGTGTCTGGATAGTCCTCCTGTGGAGGGACGCGCCCGACTTGACCCTCCCTCCGAGCTCCCTCTTCACGGGCCCCCTGCCATCGGGAGCGGCGAAGAGGGGGGTGTCCAAGAGGGGGGGGTGCAAATCATGACCGGCGGCACGTGCGCGGCCCAGCGGGGGTCCAGGGACGCAATGAAAGAAGAAGAAGAAGAAGAAGAAGAAGAGGCGCCACGAGATCTGGGGAGATATCATGGCCCCCGCCATGAGATCCACCCCCCCTAGTCATCACCCCCCTCTTTGCCGCCCCCGAATGCCAGGCTCCCCTGCCGTGGGCAGGACGGTACCCTGCCGGGAGGCCGCGGAGGAGACTGGCCATCGCTCGGACGTCCATTCCCTGTGTTTTTTCCGGTTTCGTGCGTGGGTTTTTCGCCAAAGGATCACGGATGCTTCTCGATGGCCCTCGCCGAAAGAAAAGTGCACACGTCCGAGCGATGCCAGGCCACTGCCGTGGGCGGAGCGGTGCCCCGCCGGGAGGCCGCGGAGGAGGCGAGGCCTCTCCCGGCGGGGGCGGGCGCGTCCGCCCCGGCGGGGCAGGGCCGGGGCGCCTCTCGCGGGGCGGGCGCTCGGCGGCGCGCCGTCGCGGGAGCACGCTCTGAGGACCTCAAAGGGGCCCCAAGACACACAAATAAATACACACAAATAGAAGGATTCCCCACATTTTTCCTATACTTTCTGGGTGTTTGTCTTCCCCCCCACGTCCCATATGTTCCCATATGTTCTGGGGAATCGCCGATTAGTTGTGTCTGTGTGTTTCTTTCCCTCCTGAGACCTACCAAGCCAACCCAGCCCAACCCGAAGACCCGAGTTTCGCCCGCATTTCGGGTTGAGGGGGCACGGGCTTCGTGCGCGTGTTTGTTCCCCCGTTCCCCGCCCCCCCACACACACACTGGAAACGGAAAGGGATTTGGGGCCTTCGGGTTGGGTTGGGGTGGTTTGGTGGGCGGTGACCCTCTAGCTCGCTCCCTGTCACTTTAGGCGCTGACCCAAACCTCCAAGCCCCCACGTCCTGCTCAAGCCGCTTCCCGCCTGGGCCCTCGCTCCTCGTCCTTCCGTTGTTGCCCCGTGAAGCGTGCCGCGCGAGCGCATCACGCGCAGCTTGCACAGCACATGACGGCGCCTACACCGTCGTTGTCCCGGCAAGCCTGGGTCAACTCTTCCTGTCGCTTGATGCACATGGGTTGGGTAGAGCGTCACGGGGATTTTTTTCGGCGATCACCCAAACCTCCAACGTATTGAAAAACGTCCACCCGTCAAAAAATGTTTCGTAGAAGTCGGCCTCCGCGGGCCCTCGCTCGGCCACGGGACCGCCTCAACACGACTCGGAACGAAAAAAACGGCCCTGGGGAGAACGTCGAGACCTGCGGGGACCCCGTATCCTGGAAGTCGTGCTTCTCTTTAGGCGATAGCCCGGGGTATCCGGTTGGCGTGGCGGGGGGGAGGTACCAGCCGATGACCTCCCCTTCTCGCCTTGGGCAGCCCCGCGTGTGCTCGCGCGCACCAACACTGCGCACCCCCGTCGGATCTGCGCAATCGGCAGGGTCCTCGTATCTGGGGGGGGGGCGACAGAGGGAGGGAAGGAGGGGAGGGGAGT